ACTAAGGTACTTTAATTGTTAGATGAAAACAAAGTTCAGCACTGTAAACAGCAGCAAAGCTGCAAGAAAAAAATGTCTGCTCAACATATTAGTAGACAAAATAGAAATCAGCTCTAGTAAGTTTTTGTCTAAGCCTTCGTGCTGATTTTTTACATGTTTAGAAATAAATTATCAGTTCTACTTACTTTCGTGACCATTTTTTTTTTTGGTTCATATTTTTGTGATATCCAGACTAACCAAGGTCTTGGTAACAGTTATTAGCCTCAGCCTTTGGCTTTAGTTGATAACCCCTAACTCGACCTTTATTATTCTGGATATCACAAAAACCTCATCCAATAATTGTTTATTGTCTGTAGGGTTGTTGGCTGTTGGGAGTACAGATGGTCTTATTAAGATTTTCAGTCTCAAACTGTTGCCATCAATCAGTGGAATTGCAGAGTATGTGTTGTGGGGAGACAAGGATGACATGCAAGTCCTGTACTTGGACTGGCTTCATTCATGGCAGGTGTGTAGATGGTAATTATTGTTAATTTCTCCAGTAATGCAGACGGCTAATGACATCTATAGTATGAAGAGATTAAATTACACTGTAGCCTATCAAAACTTTTCCCTACCCCATAGAGTAAACAATCCTGTCCAGACATAATTCTCCAATCCACATATCACTTATTGGGCTGTGGCTCTCAATTTACCAAGGTGCAATTGATAAAGATCAGCATATAAGATTGACACCTCACATGAGTGAGTGTGCTTTCAAGAAACATGTTACACATGCAAGCTACCTTAAAATTACCAACCTAGCGTCCAGTATGTCTTCCACAACAAACAACTAGTCAATCTTTCCTTTTTTCAATATTTTTTGCTCTTAGTAGAATTTGAAAAGTGTATGGAGAAATGTTTATCTATACTGCAGAGGTTATGCAACCAAGTAGTCCATGTAGTAAATAAAGTACTTATTAACAAGTTGACCAAATTTTTCCAGTGCCTAGACATTTATTGGTCGGGGCTTCAAAAAAAAAAAGAGTCACTAGTGCTTCAGCAAACTCCAGTTTAAGATATTTATTAAAAAGAACGAAGCAATAGATCACTTTTCGGGTTTAACAAAAATGAATAGAAGAGTTGATAATAATAAATTAAGAGTTTGAAATACCTTTCTTCTGTTGCTGAATGTTGTCCATCCAACACAAAGTAGTATCTTGCTGGCAACTTATCATGAAATTATGCAAGTATGTCCCTGAACTGAGTTGCAGTTTATCTGCGGATGGTTAGTTCTAGGAAACACAGACTAAAAAAATGTGTTTTAAATTTAAAAAAAAAACAGAGAACAAACATAGTATCCACCAGGATACATACATAAGCAGGGGGTATCCTCAGTACGGTGCCACTCTCTCCAAACAAGGTAATGTTATTTTATTAGATCCTTGCATACTTAATCTGGTTTAACTTGGGCTTTTATCATTGGGCCAAAGCTAATCAGATGTTTTGTTTTTTTTCCTTTGCTTTCATAGACATGTGATGATCTTCATTATCTGGTGGCATGTAAAGGTTCATCAGTTATTGTATTTTCAGTTGTGGCAAAGAATGATATACTAACACAAAAGCCAAGCTATAAAATAATACAAGGCATTCACAAAATGCCAATCACAGGGCTAGCTTGTACACAAAATGGCACTATCCACACTTGCAGTCTGGATGGATCAGTTCAGACCACGTCAGTAGGTAATGACCTTAGACAAGTTTCATATTACCAAGTCTACTTTCATCTTCATATTCTTGTATTTTACATCTGTCCACATCAATATGTTGTCAAAACCTTGACACTGCCTAACTAAGCTGTCCTAAACTTGATCTTAACTTGAGTTGCATTTCACCAATTTGAACTCCATGTTTGTGTTCTTCTTCCTTTGGAGAGTTTCCTGTTGAGAATTTACTGGAACTTTTTTATTAGGCATGAATTATTTATCTGTAAGTAGTTGTTTTACCTAGATGTTAGACAGATGTTTGGTAAAATAGTGTCCTAATTTGACGTTCTATCAGTTTACCCAAATGTCTTTCATCACGAAGTATTTGTGACAGTAAATGGTAGTTAATTATTCTTGCTTCTTTTTTTAAAATTTTTTATTTCTTTAAGACAGTGCAATAGCGAGTGCTGTGAGTTGTGCTGTAAAGAAAGGATTCACATGCTCTGGCATAGGAGTGTCCGCTAATGGTGTCTTCATTGCCTTATTTCTTTCTCCGTCAAATCACACACAGCAATATCTGGAATCTCACCAGATTCATGTGAGTTTACGGTCTAACCAATTTTCCTTTAAAATTGTGTCTACTGATGTACACGTGTAAAAATTGCTGACTTTTATTTACATGTAGATTCGCTTTGTAAACATTGTGTGGGGATCAAATTCAGTGGAACGTCTCCTGAACAGTAACGAAGTTCAACTGGATAGAAAGTGGGATGTGTGTAAAGCTATTCAACACAACATGTATTACAGCAAAAAACTACCAGAACCACTTCAACTAGTTAGCACTGGTGCTATGGAGGGCTCTTCGTTTGCTGTGTTGGCGATCATGCAATACGCGCTGACTGTTATGAGGGTAATATCACAGCAACAGGAGGATGATCTAGCTGGCAATCAAGTACAGCAGCTGAAGTGGGCAGCTCAGCTTGAATGGATTAGAGACTACATCTACAAACGCTTAGTTTCTGCTACGCTAAACAGTTGGTTAGAAGGAAGGAAAGCAGGAACTGTTAGTCCTCTAGGTTAGCAGACAACGGGTGCAACTATATTATGAGTTTCTTACATTATGTTAGTTGTGATATAAATTAGTGTTGAGATTACCCTCGAAATGTTGTGACATGAGTAAGAAACTTATACTAGTGAAAAGCTTGACGCAAAGTACGAAATTCTATTAACTCCTCAATGCTAATTGCTCAATTTGTCTTGTTAACTTTAGGAACTTCTAGTTTAATTAGTTTTGCTAGTGAATAGTGGTAAACATGTTGTTATTACTTAAGGCGAACAGTGCAAGGACTGGTTATTTCATTCTTTGTTGTTTTCAAGAGAAAGCTTTTCAATTCTTCTTTTATTTTAATAGGACTAGGCACGCATAAAACTCATTGGCTTGTAGCTTAATCTTTACTGGCTTTTTACTTGTCCGACGGGAAGCAGTTTGGGATTGGATTGATTAAATCAGGGAATTTTGGCACTGCATTAACAAAATCAAGGGATAAATATTTACCTTATAGCACAAATTAGCCTCCAGGGGTTTGGCATTGACACGAAATACGGCATCCATATAACGTGATTCTGACATTTTTGTTTTCTCTACACAGATTCGGTTCCAGCACTGATAATGTGCGACTGGTTGGTGACTAAAGGTATTGACTCTGCTGTCACTGATATGGTTATTCAGGGGTACGAAGCCTGTAATGATATAGAAGGTTTGAAGAAGGTCTTATCACACACTGTTAAAAGCCATGAAAATGGCAAAGAAAGCTCTTCTGGTTTGCTGCTTCAAACTGGAAAAGCCACAGAGAACCAGTCTGTTATTTTTCAAAGTAACGCGAAGGCTGTAAAGTCACAAGTAAATGACAAAGATCAAACCTTAACTGGTGTCACAGACGAATCTTTTACCTTACTCACAAGAGAGCAATGTCCATTATGCCAAACTGCTATTGCTGTTGAAAGCTTGGAGTACGGAATATGCCTAAGTGGCCACCGCTGGCCGCGTTGCTGTGTGTCCTTTGTCATTTGTGCTGAATTAACACTCAGACGTTGCCAAGATTGCAATCGCTGTGTTTCAACCCCGAATCCTGGATCATCTCCCTGGTTGCGAAGCTTATTGAAAATGACGAAGTGTCCTTTTTGTTTAGGTTTCTTTCATTAGTGTTTTTCCTTCAGTTGACTCACAATTTTGTTAGAAAGGAAAGGGTTTCATACATGAAATACAGTGGAGTTACAACAGCAAGAGGCAGATATTGGCCACTAACGGACGCTTAAAAAACTTGTATCCTATCCGTCTGTTTTCACAAGAGTACGTGAGCTAACCTGCTTATCAGGAGATGAAACAAATCACCGAAATAAAGTAATAAAATGGTGCTTTGTTTGGATATTCATCAGCATTGGAACTTTATTCGTTTATAACAGGATGAACGAGGTGCGTGAGGAAAAAGCAAACCTTGTGATGATTAATTTTTTCGAAACTTTTTCCTTCGAGCAAACCTTACGGTTTAAGTAACCGAGAGCAAAACTGTCAGTGAAATCATTCTTGAGTTATCCAGAAGGTATAATTGTACAAGTTATCGAATGTTGACTACCACATTGTATCGACTGACAGACGCAGCTAACAAGCAGCCCTCGGGCTTTCCCTTGTAGATATTTCAACAGAATTTCCTAACGGGAGATAGCGTAGGAGATGTGGGAGGGATGCGGGATAGGGTGGTATGAGGCTGATGCCCCTTTTCGTTCTCTTCCTATTTTCCTATAATTTTTGTTTCATTAGGTTTTCATCGTCCATGTCAGTTACAAACCTTGAATTTGAAGACAGCAAAAAAGTACAGTTTTGTTTCTCGAGAACTTTCTGTGGAACGTTTTAGTTGATTTTAGGGCTTAAAGAGCGAAACTCCCACAAACCTCTGACAGTCAGGTCGGTCTGTCTTAGCTACTTTTTGTCATCGAGGTAAAAACAATTCATTTAAGGTATTTTTGTTGTCATGTCGAGTTCAAATTAGAAGAAGACACTTCAAATTGGTCCGCATAGTCCCATTTGTCCAGTGAAGGTGAAATTCTTTAGAGCGGCTGTCCACAGTGAAAACACAATCAATTAAAAATGAAGCCGGCCGGAAGCTGATAATTACAATTAATTGTTGTCGATACCGGTTGGATACGTGGGCCTTGAAGAATATTAATCTTATTTGCATGACCTGTCAACTTTGTCATGTTATTGGCAGAAGGGAGCTTTTAATTTTGTCACTGTTTACCTTTCTCAAAAGCGCACGGGCATCATCATCACTTCTGAACGCGCACTTCCTAGCAAAGTCGACATGAAGTAATTGCTTCTAAGAACTTCACATTGTTAAAACTAAATTGTCGGAAAGTATTGCCGTTAAAAGGGCGGTGGGTAAATCAGTGCGGCGTGAACCGGGCATGAATACTGCGCGTACATTCTTGTTTTTCATCTTGGTCGTCTTGCTTGACAGAATATTCACTTGTTGTGCAGGTAAAGATTAATTTTCACCTTGGTTACTGAGACTCGCCTTCAGTGAGTTTAAATATTTTTTTTAATGTAGTTTCTTAACTATTAAAGCCTAAGCGAATACAAGGAATGTGTCGCGGCTGTTGCAGGATCTCTATTGTCACGTTGATGTAAAGGCTGTTGTTCTCCTGGGCAATATAAGTTGAAGGTTTTATTAATCGGGTTTCAGTAGTCCATAGAAGTGACGTGTTTCGGCAAGTGTGGCGATTGTATGCTATTTATTTCACTATGTTCAATCACTAGCTAATCCGACTTTATGAGATACATTGCCCATGTTTTCATACAGACAATCAAAGTTCGCCAGATTTTATAGCAACCGAAATATGAAAGCATGAAAAGACGTTTAATGAAATCTCCGAGACGGCGTGAGTTCATCGATACAAAATCAGCGAGGTTACTTCACCTATAGAAGACGATTGGAAGGCGTGGGGCTGAATTTTTTTAAAGAAAAAATTGCGAGAGGACTGCTGAATATTTTGGAAATTTTAAATGAGGTTTTTCATCATTTTTAATTACGTTCTTGACAAGTACTATTGACAACGTCATACAACTGAATTATCATAAATCCAGGCAGGATTTAGAATCTTTCCTTTCTCATTGGTGTAGAGTAAAAATCCTACATCCCTCGTCGTTAATGCATTTTGATTCGTTGTATGAAAAAGTCTACTGATCTGTTTGCGATAAAGTTAAGGAGCATATCACCTAGCTATCACTTGTGTCTCTGTTATGCCTGTGGCTTTTCACGGAAAAATGAAAGCCACATAAAACTCTCTATATAATTTTACTCTCGTTTTGTCTCCCCAACTTGCAAATTATACAGAGTTTCGTCGAATGTGTCTAGTACAGGGATCAATATAAGAATTATTTAGGTGAGAGGGAGAGATGAAAATTTCCGATATTTCGCACTAAGGAATAACATTTTATTTCAAAAAGCGGTGAAAATTACTTGGATGGCTAAGGTAAGTCTTTCTCATAAATTTTGAAATACGGCAACGCCTGTAGAATTTATTTGTAAGGAGTTACTTGACTTAGAAAAATCAAAACCTAAGTTCGACGGCGGGCATCTGCATGAAGCTATTGTATTTTGTACCCGCATTCTTTGAAGTTGTCGATGGTAACGCGTAAGCCATGCAATTGTTTGTTTTGGAGACAAAAGAGGATCAGAAGAGCAATTTATATTTTCTACTGTGATTACATTTGATAATGTGCACCCTCTTTCCTCTGCAGAGCTTAATTCATCTTCATCCATAGAGAACTCCATCTCTCCACAAACCAGATCAAGTGGTAGTCTTTTAGTTAAATCTGCGCTCTACTCAAATTGTATTCCGTCTACGGTCCAACCAAGTATTAAAATCAGTTTTACTTCGTCAATTAAAAGAAGCATTCACCTGGAAACTGACACAAAATACATGAGAAGTTCGTTGGTCATGATGACTTCTGTCGCAAGTCCAACTAAAAAACTGGTCGTCCACACCACCAAACCTGTGCGACAGCCTCCACCAGCACCACAGCTGACTTCATTTGGGATATTTTTAATAACGTTTGGTGGTGTGTTAATTGTATGTATGATCATCGCTTTAGTTTGGATATGCTGTGGGAGAGAACGCAGGTGAGATACTTAATCGCCCTCTACAGGTTATTTTAGACCTTATAATCATTTCATTTCGATATGTTCCATTAGAGACTTTCTGATTTTCAGGTTTTGATCGTCTCTAGTTTACAACAGACCTATTTTAATTTTCGTTTCGAGGTCATGGAAAATATTACTTTTCCCAACTGATCGAGTACCCTATCTGGGCTGGTATTTACCTCAGCCACAAGGATTATATGTAAATACAATTGATTTCATACTTTAGTAATAAATAAAGTATAACTGTGAGGCTCCCCATGGAGCCTTGGTACTAGAAGACTTGGCACAAACCAACGGGAAAACGATGCCACAAATAAATAAAATGATTGATCATCACAGCTGAATTGAAATTGAAGAAAATGATTCCCCTTCAACCCTAGTCAAGTCGTCTAGTCTAGCCTAGTCTATAAGTATAGCCAAAGTGTCTGTGTATCTCTCAAGCATACTAATACCTCTGTATCATGTTCTTTCTTTTTTTTTCAGCCCTGAAGCGCCACATCCTCAAGTGAAACTGAAACCCTGGAGGTAATGAGTTTATAGCACTAAGTTCTATCTAATCCCGGCACCAGTGACTCAGCGACCGAAGATGTTATTAATGAAGGCATCACTAGTCGAAAGGCCAACCTGAGCAGTACTCGACTTTTCCCAAGAGTGAAATTTCTTCCCATGGGAAATCTGTTCAGACTTTTGAAAATATCGCTTCTTTAAGCAAAAGAAATATGAGAGATTTCGAGCTCGGCATAGCATTAAAGAAAATTCGCCTCGTCACGAGCGCGGGACAAAGAAAGACATTCCAGTGCCAATGAAAAATGGAATCCGAGATTATTTGAATCCGTTATTGTTGTATGATACTAGTTTATCCTCTGATAAGTTGAACCATGCTGAAAAAAAAAAAAATACTGTTGATGAAGAACTTATTTCGTGTGCAGATGGTGGGTTAGAGCGTTTTTCCATGTTCAATGTATCGTGTGGAGGAAATTAAGGACATTTTTCCTATTTTTGCAAAAACGATTGTTTATGTCTAGAATTGTCTTCTGGACAAACGCGTTTTTATCTATGAAACTTATTGCTGTAGATATTTTAATGAGGAGAGCCTGTAGTGAGAGTGTTATTTTTCTTTTGTCAGTCATAGCCCACCGGAGCAAAGTGTCAATGATACTGCTACCGAAGTAAGTGATCTTCCAAACAGCTATCAGAACCAGGGATTAAATAGGTGAGCGTTTAAATGATTTCCTTTGCTTCAAGCCTTGCTTTTAAATCTCAGTTGACTTGGTTGGTAATGTGTAGTTTGTGACATCGGAATAATTTTTCACTTTGGAGTCGAAATATGCCATAAAAGTAAGTAAGAATTACACATATATTACTCTGTAATACACGAAAGATATGACGCTGAACCCTTTAATTTTTTTAAATGGCCCAGACAGATGAAATACTTGGACGAGTTTATCATGAATACATAATATTCCTGGGTACTGACCGATATTTAGGCCCCATTTATAAGGTCTCGGGTACTCGAGACAACCCTTCCCCCGAGACAACTTTACGGAGTGTTTATAGGAAATTTGACATCTGCTAACCCTTGTTCGGCCAGGTTACATATTAGACAAAATGGCAAACGAAAGGGAAAGAATAGCTGTAAACATTCCAGTCACAGCTTGCGCACGCATTTTCTGTTCGAGTTGTTACGTCTCGAGTGAGCGAGACAAGCTGTTTGCATGAGGAAAAGTTGTCCCACCTGCCAGGGCTACCCTACCTGCTGAGGTGAGACAACTAGCCCTCCCCCCCCCCCCCCCTTCGAGTTGTCTCGCCTTTCCGAGACGAGTTCACAACTTCATGTAAACGTAGAAAAGGTTGTGGTTATTCATCGTGGTGAATAACCATAAAAGCTAAGTTTAATTTTCCGTTTGTCTCAAGATGCACGCGTGAATGATGTAGATCGCGACGTTTCGACTGCATACCGCTGGTCTTTTTCAAGCGATGCGGTCGACTGGTCATGCGTGATCTTATAAAGCATGATGCTCTGCTGTGATTAGTTGTTTTTCAACAGCTCTGATTGGTGCATTTCGATCCTTTCTGTTCATTCAGTGACCTGCTCCCTCGGCGGTCCGCTGTCGCACGGCTCTCTTGTTGTTGTTTTTTGATCGTGGGCATCCACGCTTCTGGAATTTCTATTCCTCTATCCCTGTTGATGTTGTTAGGGTGAAGTCTTATATGAATTGCCTCTTTGACCCTGCGCGTGTAGTAATAAGGGTCACGATCAATAAACTTTACTTCGTTCCAGACTGGCTTGTGTCCGGTGTTGTGGGCATGCTCTGAAACGGCGGAGGTCTCGGTACGGGCGAGTCGAATGTCTCGATCGTGCTCCTTAATTCTGTCTTGCATAGGTCTTCCAGTCTGTCTGATGTATACCTTGCCGCATTCACAGGGAATCCTGTAAACTACGCCATCTTGTTTAGCCGAGTCGACGGCGTCTTTTGGTCGTAATTACTGAGATCTTAGCGTAGTCTCCGGCTTGAAAACAACGCGTACGCCTTGTTGTTGTACGCAACTTGACGGCGAAGCTGTTCGGAAATACCTTTGACATAAGGTAAAACCGCAGTAGTTTTAAACTCGTTGGCGGGTTCGGCATTGTTGTATGGTTTTCCGGTCTTGGTAAGTTTCTGCAAGAAAGAATCAAAGTGCTCTATGAGCAAACTCGTGAATTGTCACATGATTTTTTGGATTATGTTTAATGTTATCTGTTTTAGGGAATTTTGTGGTTGATTGTCGTATCTAGAGTACAAGCAGTAGTTCAGTGTTCGCTAATGTAGCAAAGAAACAAAGTAATTGAAATTGAAATGATCATGCTATTACATTTGACAATGTGGATGATGTCATGTGTTTTAAACGTATATCATTTTTGTTTCTGGTTCAAAAGAAAGGTTGGAAGTAAATGTGGGTGAAAAGTGAAATTTACTGTCTTAGAAATTAGAAAGAAATTAGAAAATCAAGGCAATACTGTCTTAATGAAAACATTAACGATTCCCTCTTTATCAAATGAGACAAACGGGAACGAGTTTTGAGTGATATAACTAAGCCAAGACTGCCACCGTCATTTTGGATCTCCGCCTGGGTAGA